CATTTCCATGCTGGTTCAGAGGTGGGGGTGAGGGATTTGGGGTGGGGGAGGGGCCTCTAGGCTAAGGCAGGGGGTTGGGGTGCAGGGTTGAGGGGTACAGGAGAGGGATTTGGGCTGGGGCAAGGGGATGTGGGGTCCTGGCAGTGCTCACTGTAGCTCCTGGGAAGCAGCTGCCAGGTCCCTGTGGCCCCTTGATACATGGGCGGCTGGGGAACCTCCATGTACTATACTGTACTCTTGTGCCTGCAGCACATGCCGCCTGGGTGTGGTGTACTCAGGCATTGCCCCTGCAGCTCCCATTGGTTGCAGTTCTTGGCCCCTGGGAGCTGCTGAGCCAGCACCTGGGTTGGGGCAGTGTGCGGAGCCTCCCTGGCTGCCATGTGCCTAGGGGCTGCAGGAGTGGGCAGCTGCTTCTGGGAGCCATGTGGACCTAGGTGTGAGAAACACTCGTGTTCATGTACTGGGCTGTGTCCAGACTCAGGGTTTTTTTCGAAAAAAAGTAGCCTTTTTTCGAAAAAACTTCCCCTGCGTCCAGACTCAAGCCGCGTTCTTTCGAAATTAAATCGAAAGAACGCGGCTTTTCTTTCGATGGCGGTAAACCTCATTTCACGAGGAAGAACGCCTTCTTTCGAAAGTTCCTCTTTTGAAAGAAGGCGTTCTTCAATGTAAATAGGGCTTCTTCGAAAGAGAGCATCCAGACTCACTGGATGCTTTCTTTCGAAAAAGCAAGCCGCTTTTTCGAAAGTTCAACGTGCAGCCTAGACGCTCTCTTTCGAAAGAGGCTCTTTCGAAAGAGGCTTGCAGTCTAGACATAGCCCTGGTGTCTACGGGTGTGTAGGGCTGTTCAGTCTCAATCTGTCTGAACTTCTCCATGCAGTTCCCTAGGTAGCTGTTTCCTAAAAAACTCGTCACTTGCCGCCTCTTAAAAAGAAGTGGTCCCGTAGCACCATAGAGACCAACAAAAATATACAGACTCATGAGCTTTCATGGGTAAAACCCACTTCCTCAGATGCCTCTGTGACGGCACATTGGGGGTCCCCCGTCTCCTGCACCCCGAAATGGCACAAACAGACTGCACCAGCTGGTGGAATAGAGGAAGTTTATTGCCTCTCCAGGATACAGCACAGCATAGATGTAATCTGGTCACAGAGCTGGGCTAGGATGCCTCAGGCCCCCTTGAGATGGG